CCCTTTATTTACATCACATTCCCAACGGTCACCCATTATTAACCGTATTGTTTTCAAGCTATGGTTAATTAGTTTTATCGCTTGATTTTAAATAATTACGCTGCTTATTTGTATGTTTGTCCGCCTACCAAAGTAAGTACAATAACTATCATTCACTTGGTGGTTTTACTCGTGGTACAATAAAAATCCCTGGAATCTCTCAGGAGAGTGTGAGATTTCACGATTTAGATATTAAATTCCAGTTAGAATTGACCACCAAAACTATCGTGTTGTAGAGTTGCCCTTTTGTTTTGAATGATAAGAATAAGTAAGAAAATAATGAGGGCTTTGAGTGGTGTTGATGGTGTCTACTCTTGTCTCATTCATGCTTATACCTTACCTTCTCTTTGTGACATATACTGTATATTCTACTTATTTCTTTTCACTTATTAGTAGTTAGATAATGCCATTAGGAGAATCACAGTTCACTATCCATTAAAGAAGACTAGACATTAATTATCCAGAGGATAACTAATTTGAATTTACACATTAATGTTCGTCTGTACTCATGTTATGACTAATTCTTAGCAGTTCTTGCTTCCCTTATCACTCACCAGTTCACTCGCCATACTTATATTTCAGGAACCTCACGTTCCTTATGCGATGGTTATAAAGTATGAGTAGAATAATTCAAACAAGAGATTAAGCTGACACTGTTAATCGACAGAACACTAACCACTAGCTTCTCAAAAAAATATTATGAACGTAATCTCTGCCAATTTCTAAATAATATTGGTTCAACATTTAACGAAATAATTGATTATAATACACAAACAATCGTACATTTAAATTCATGTTTTCTCTTGTTTTAAATTTACACGGAATTTTTGTACATGTTCAACATTCTTAAACAACCAACCCACAGTGGTACACTTTTGGGCAGAAAGCAACCAGAAATTTCATTTTTGTTTAGATTAAGATTAAAGTAAATATTGAACAATAATTTGAACCTATCACGTTAAACAGAAAAATGTTCTAACCACTTGCTATCATTAATTAAAAGTAAAGAAGAAACAAAATTTGTTCAATTAAAAATGAATTATTAACTACTTATTGAATTTTTGCTCTTGAATTTCCAAATTTGTCTTTCGAACTCAATAAGCTACAGTATGTACACTTTTTTGATCAGCCACCTGGGAAAATAGCACGTTATATATTTTTTTCATCTCAACCAGGATGATAAAGTACCATCATCTTTACACCATTTATACCAGAGAAAGCATTAATTTGTCCCATAGGAGCTACATGTTTTTTAAAATATTCACTATAATTGAAATATTAAATTATAGGACTAACGTTTATCCACTTGAAGTTTTAATGTATCGAAGAATGGTCTTCACGAGCTAAAACGTATGAAAATATGAAGTACTAAAATGTAGCATATTTATGATTTGAACCTTAGCGACAGTATACACATAGAATACTACTTTTTGGAGACAAAGAATTTAAAGTCAGCTAGTTTTAGAATCAGTGTATAATATAGAGATGATATTGTTTGAATAGACTTTACTTGGAAAAATTTGATAAACTAGTTCATACGTTACTTGGTTATTCATCTGACTTCATATACACATACTTTTCAGTTCTATTTAGAATAAGAATTCTGGTAGTATCTATTTATTTCATATTTTCATTGTTTATTCAGTTCGTCTGATAAATACCACAGATTGGTTATGTATGTGAATTAACTTAATCTAATATATTTTTGAACTTATCCGTTATAGCTAAATTAATTTTACCTAACCATGAAAAAACAATATATGGAAATCCATTCATCATTTTCGCACGTTCACATGCCAGAAGTTCCAAATACCTTTTTTAGTAGTTTATTGTTTCTCCATCTTTTAAAGGTACCGTAGATTATTCTACTTTTAAAGTGAATAACCATGTATTTCCATCTCTTTGAAGGTTTACTTAAAGTTACACAACCGTAATGGGAAATTTTGTGTGTATTTGATCGATCAGTAGTGATTCTCACAGTGAAAAACATTGATGGCGGTTTGTAATTTGGTTGTATGAAAAAGAAACATCTCTTCAAATAAAATATCAATTTTTCTCATTGATAATGACAATTAACATTGCCGGGAAAATTTATGTTCCTCAATTATTTAAAAGTGAATCATCATCAAAACTTCTAATCCTTAAAATTGGATTACCTTACTAATCTTTTGTGATATTGAATACTTTGAAAAATTAAGCTCTCTCCATTGTTGATAGCAGCTAACTAACCATTTAGACTGAGGAATAACTGTATGTATGCTTAAATTCTGGAATCAAACGAGTTCAACAGTACCGATCCCTTCGTTATTCAACGTTTTCAATAGTTGAGATCAGGAATCAATTGAAGCTAGATCACTATGTAAAACCTAGAAGCACTAGACGGCCATTTCGTTCTATTGTTGGACTTCTCAGCAATGCATAATCCCGCCTCGCGAGATTCGAACCAAGGACCTATCGGTTTCGCGCGCGAGCGCTAAATCTCTAGACCACTGAGCGGCATCCATACATCTTTGGAACTCATTTTATGATACACATAAGATGTATATTTATGTATTTATTTTTCTTGATTTTCGCTGACTTGAATTGTGACAATTTGAATCGATGTGCTTCCTTGGTTTGTTTGAGACTTTCTAACAGTTCTGATATCCATGAATCTATTCTCTGACTGGAATTAAAATATCCCAGGCTTGTACTATTTAGTTGCTATTGGTGATGTAAATAATATGTAGAGTTGTTGTCATTTTGTACCTTCCCCCCAAATGTTCTAATTTGTTTCTTGTGAATGAGAATTGAAAAACTAAAACAAACATACAATTTCATATTTAACAAGATAATGTAATGTTTTGTATCTCAATCAGCTATTTTTGATGAGTTCATTATTAGAAATGACTTAAAGTCTGCAATAGCATGTAAAATGATTATAACTGTCATAAGACAATACTTAGCATTCGATAGGTCACAGAAGCTCTTTCAATAAGCGTGAAATAATATGGAACTTCTTATTGTGTAATTTAGTTGTTGAATTCCTGAGTCTATTTAAGCTAGGCCACCATTGAAAGCTGGAAGCACTGGACGGCCGTTTCGTTCTAGTATGGAACTCCCCAGCACTGCGTATCCACGATCTCGCACGCGGGACTCGAATCCAGGACCTTTGGTCTTGTATGAAAACGCCCAACATCTGGACCACTGAGTCGGCATCCAACCAACTACAATCTCCACAAACCCCATTCTGATAATTCTTATTTTGTGTTGGTTTTGAAGTCTGCATCAGTTCTCATGTCAAGTGCTCTAACGACCTGTTTTCTATATGCTGATCAGATTCTTTTTTCGTAGATTTACTAGGTATGATACTTTCTATTTCTGACTAAACTACACTTTGGTATATCGAATAGATTTATGTTTGGACTTGGTTTCATAGATATCGGTGAACTTTTTATCACTGGTAAATAGTTTTATATTTTGAATGTTTTAGTAATGATTTTACTTGCATATACTTTACAAACAGTTTTCAATACGAGGAAGTATTTTGATTGTAAAAATGAAGTGTAGAAAATAGGAAAGAAATAAACTTCATCTTGTAAATGGGGTTATCGTTAGGTTACTTTCAATTTGGTCTGTAATATGTAACTTTTACTTATCTCACCTACTTATAAGTAGTGTAATGTCAAATGTGAATTTTACGAGCTCAATGATTTCTTGCTACATTTATAGATCTTAACATTGATACTCGATAATTTATAACTCTCATATTAAAATTCACCTTTTATTTAAGTTGTCTCCATTGATTTTGCAAATTCAATTATGTAGGCACTTAATGAATTTAATAGTCCTTTTGTGTTTTGTGATAATTAACTTATTTGTAAGCAGCATACACCCTAAGAATGGGTGTTGAGCCGATCAGTGTGTTTGTTATACAACATAAGATAACCAAAAAAATTATACTTTAACTTAATAATGTATGTTTACATAATCCTTGATGAAGTCGATCGAAACTTCCAAGGTTAGGATATTAACGCAATGTAGATAATTTGTTAAGTTTTAGTTCAGAATATTTCACTCACTTGGCTGTAATTATATTACTTCAATCTATATTTTATTATGTCTGATGAAAATGTTTTTGCAGACGTCATCAGGTAAACTAATCTTGTGTATTATGAAGCGATCCATAATTGTCTTTAACTATTAGGTATTTATTTGTTGAACTTCGTAAATTCAGAGTGGTTTCATTTTTTGGTGCCAAAAATGTATAAATATGAAGGCCTTCCCGTCTTAAAGGTTGCTTGAGTACAGAAATCAATCATATATTTATAAATGTCGCGAAACCAGTTTACATTAATGCTGATCAAAATGTGAAATATTTAAACCTTCTTAGGTATGTTTGGTTTTGTACACAGTGTAATCGGACTGAAACAATCAAATGGATGTAAGACGATTGCTTAACAAGTGCATGATGCTATTTGAACGCCAATTTTGTTTAGTTTCACTGAACGTATTTTAATTATCAAGCTAAATGAGACTGTGTAGAGATCAAAATTATTTTTGGCAGTGCTACGTGATTCAGTAAAATATCTCAATATCCTGCAGTTGTCTCCAGACAATCCACCATAAATAGAGGTCTAAATGGACCGATTTCCGAGAATACCTTTCCATGCAGTGAATGTCGATCAACTACGTTGTTAGCGGCTAACGAAACCGGACAGTCAACGGAACAATAAGTCTTCTAGCCCTGAAAATTTGACAATAGAACGTATTAGTGTTCGAAACCGAATCTACTTTCGTACCAAATATTTTCTCTATACAACTTGTTCATCGCTAATTTATTTGGTTTGATGTGTGGAATTGCGGATGTATTTGATTCAAACTGTTGTAAATAGTCATTAAAGATTTTTAATTTTGGACATTATAATTTTCATTTATGTAAATATCTATAAGCTATAGATTGATTTTTTTTTAAACTCTAGAACAGAGAATATGTAGCACATGCAGGAGCTAGATTCCCTATAAAATGGACATCGCCTGAAGCAGCTAATTATTCACGTTTTACCATAAAGTCTGACGTGTGGTCTTTTGGTATTCTGTTGACTGAAATTGTCACATATGGTCGTTCCCCTTACCCAGGAATGCATAATGCAGAAGTGCTCAGACAAGTGGATGCTGGATACCGCATGTCGAAACCACCCGGTTGCCCACCAGAACTATACGATCTTATGCTAGAATGTTGGGCAGCTGATGAAAATAAACGACCATCTTTTGCAACAATTCACTTTCGTTTGGAACAGTTCTGTGAAGATGAGCAACCAGCTTACAGAAATGCAAATACCAACATCCATAGTCATCCTAATGGAAGTTCAATGGTAGTTTTGCAGAATAAACAAAATCCCTCCTCTGGAGCCTACCACAACCACATCGAGATTTCCGTATCACCATAACTTTTAGATTCTTGGTATAGTGACAAGTCAATTTCTGATTTTAATGATAATGACCGCGGTGATCCGGCACCAACTCCATCAAATCATGTAAATTCAATTCCATCTACCTGTAAATATGAATACCAAATATTGATTTTCAAGTATAGGGACTATATGTATGACAGACTAGTCATGAAAATCGGAACCAACTTAACAGCTTCCGCTCAAACCAATATGTACTTCTATTTGTTGATAGTTCTTTTTAATTATTATAGAAATTATTTTGTACCACTTTATCTTTATCCTTCCCTTATCTAACGAATTGTCAACTTTTTCTTTGGCCATTTGCTTGTTCTCTATGCTGAAGCCTAGGTTTTTTTACTCAGTCTCTTCTATGAATAAATCAGTATTGCGATCCTTCAAGTGTTTATTGATACAGTGACCCTAAATATATACAATAAAGTACTATTTGCCCTGGTATCGTCGAGTGGGTAGAGTTTGCACTCTCTCTCGAAATGCTCTCACGTGTATGTAGCCTTTGACAGGGGAGTCCTACTCACTGCATTCTCGTGGCGGGGGTGTTGCTTACGAAATCGAGAGTACGTAAAGCGAATGTCCGGCGCTTTAACCGGGTCGGTGGACACGAAAAGTCCACCTAGGGGAGTTGGAAAACCCTCATTCCAAACCAATGGTGCATATAGGCTCCGGTATCCTGAGAGGACAAATGGTGTATGAATCAATTGTTGGTCACCGGCTACCATGGGACTGCATGTCTTTACGATGCTCCACTGCCTTGTGGATCAGATCTTTAGGTCAAAGGCTCCGGGTGTGGTCCTCTAAGAAAACCACCTGCTTCGGTTTGGGCACTCGGGCAGTATTACAGCCCTCACACAAATCTTATTTGATTTGTGTGACGCATATGTATCTGGTGCTTCCTTGTACCAATATTTATGTGTTCAAATAAATAATTTGCAATAGTAAGGGGGATATCTTGGAGTTATCAGATTATTTCCACTGTCCTAAATAACATAAAATTCATGACTACGCGATTTGGGTATCTTACGGGTACCACCGACCGACATAATTTGAACAATCATCGAGAACCTGAAAGCACTAGCAGCCGCCTTATCCTGGCATGAAACTCCTCAGGAGTGGACATTCATGACTCCGCAACGCGAGGACGAACCGAAACCCTTTGGTCTTGCGCATGACCTATAGCCCACTGAGCTAGTATCCAATGGTTAGTTCATCTTTATCAAACCCGCGATAATCTTTCGAAGGCCAATGATCCAGAGCAAGGGAAGTTTCGTCCTCAAAAGGACGTGATCCTAAACTTCTATGAGGTACAGTCGTTAAAGTTGTTTCTAACTGGTTGATACTTAATAAACAGCGAGTGACATGTGCTGAAACCCAACAAATATGTTTAGTCAATTTTAGAATGTTATCTATACCTCAAACTCGTCTTTAACTTCGTTATATATTAACAGACGACAAAATTCTCATTTCGATATTCTGAATGTGCAATTCTGGGTTGCTCAAGTGTTGAGGAAATATCTAAACTGAATATTCTTGTCAACTCAGACAGTTGATAAACGTATCATGTGTAATTACTCTGCATATTTACCTACTTCTAAGACCTTGAGGTGTTTCTACTGAAAGATGTGATGCCGAATTAACAGAAAGTATCTAGCAAACTTATAGTCACTAGGTGACCTTAGAGTTGTGCTATCTCAGTGATTGATAAAACATCATCTGTGATCACCTGCTATAAACGTTTACTTTGGTAATTGTATTTTGGAGCAACACCATCAGCTAGTAATTCTGAATTTGACGTTTTACGGTGCAGTTAGGAATCGCTAATCAGATTGGTTTAGGTAGAAAAGTATGTACACATTAGTTGCCTTGTTTGTATATAAGTAAACATAAACATGATGCACATCTATATCACATTGATATGTTGATTTGTTAAATTGTTTCAATTTATTTGCTAACTTAGGGGACTTCTGTCTAAACTTCCCCTATTGCTGATAGAACTAGCACTTTGGTTTACATTTACCTCTGGTAATGAAACTTGCTGTAGTAGACATTGGTGACGGGTTTTTAAGTTGCTTACGACTGCTTTTGTCAGACAATTTCGTAGTAAGTTGACGTCTACATTAACGCAACTGAGTTGAAATTAAATATAAAAAATCAATTCACCCCTTTTGGAGTACAAAAAGAGTCAGTCAGTCAGCTACAACGTAGGACCAGGTACACATGCATCGGTCCAAGTTGCCATACCTCGTTAGCACAACAAGATGAACACCGGATTCATAGAAATAGTTAATTTAGTGGTGGTAGTGTATAAAAGATAGGTTGTATATAAGGATATAGTATAGGAAGGAAAAAAAGTTATGAGGCAATTTTAATCTCAAGGTTTAAGGGAAGATAAAGAGTGTATACACCTACGCCATTGTGATCGATTCTGAGCCATGTCACCTAGAGTCTTCAACCATTGGTTACGATAGTCACGCGGACCCCAACCAGGTAGTCTGCATCTGCCAACATGGCTCAGACTAGAAGTTAGTGACTTCAAGCTCTGATGCCACGTTTTGTTTTGGCCACCTCTAACTCTTTTTCAACCATCCCCAACACTAGTCAGAATAGCGCGTCGTGGTAATCGGTGTTCAGGCATACGTAACACGTGGCCTAACCATCTCAGTCGATGAAGATTCATGATCTCACCAAATGATTTACCATCATTACCTAATACCCTGCCGTCTAACCTCTCTATTACTTACCCGGTTATCCCAGCAGATGCGAGCAATATTTCTAAGGCATCTGTGGTCAAATACTAGTAACCTACGAGTATCTTCTACTCTTAATGGCCATGTTTCACAGCCCTAAAGTAGAACAGAACGAACTGCTGCGCAGTATACTCGTCCTTTAATTGATAGACGGATATCTCGTCTTCGCCATAGGTGACGTAAGTTGGCAAAAGCCGAACGAGCTTTTTGAATCCGTGCTGAGATTCCGTCAGACACCAACAAAAAATAGGTCAAAATGTTGATCATAAATTATTGTTTCTAGTTTTTTTTCATAAACCTACTAAACAGATGGCAGAAGCCGTATATGTGCAAAGCATTACCTTTAATTCAATTTACACGATAAATCAAACACATTTTTATTATCATGTCACCAATATGACTGGAAGCTGGATATAACATTATGTACAGAGAACTGAAAATGAACACATTAAGTATAGTGAAATCAGTCAAAATCCCGAATATTATGTTTTGCATTAGCCTTTTTCTGTCTTGGGTCGATTGAGTTTACTTGATATATTTGTCGACTTTACACGTTTATCACGTTTCTTCAAACCATCGATATTAGCTTTCAGGAGGTTGGAATAAGCTTGGTTGAATCGATTCATGTCCTTCTGGTGAACCTATTTAAAATAATTGCAGAAACTTATTTGAGCATTCAAATTTCCGTACCAATAATTTGAAAAGTTAGAATGGTCTTACATTACATGTATGTGTTCCGTCCACGTACTTGTGAATTATATTGTTGAGTCTTTCTAAATTAGACTTTTCTTATCTTCAGTTATGATTTATCATCTTTCTACATCTATTTTCGTTACTGACTATTAAGTATAATGGCGAACGTCGGTTTTTTCTTAAAACAAAAGTCCACTTGGTTTATTCAACACCCATGGAGGTATAAGTGTATTTCTGATCTCTTCCAAACGATTGATGCCTGTCATACTCCGTAGATCACGCTAAACCGAGGACTGATCTGCAAGGAGTGAACAGATTTTCATTCAGGTCATGGACGTGTTGATATATTTATCTCCCCCAGGAAGTTTATTAACATTTTAAAGGTTCTTCATAAACGCATCAGGCAGGTTAGAACATATAGCCATCATCCTCAATTGTTCCGTTCCAGTGGCAGGTAGGATAGGGTTACCTAGTCTTACGATTCGTCGTACTTAGTCAAAGAGTGTTATTTTCTTACGCCAAAACTGAGGTATAATAAATAGTAAAAACGGATTAACATTTGCAAGTCCATCATCTCTCGGTTGGTGTCGTACAAGTGGTGCAACTCAGTGGCTTGATACGTTATCAAACATGGTTGGCGACAGGAGTCAATGGAGACCCTGTGGTAGTTTTTGTTTATATTGTTCGCAAAAATGAAATAAGCCAACTGAACTGGAAGTTTTTTTGTGACCTAAATGTGCTTTAATTATATAAATAACAAGAGTTCTATTTTTACTACGAAAAAGATCTCAACACTGGGTTTCCTGTTTTACTATTTCCTAATCCCTGGTGGTCTAGAGAGTGACGGGACGATATAGATATAATCCAGTTAGATATTAGAAATTGATGAGCCAGCCGTTTGAATAAACGAACTAGGAACATGGAATCTTCAAAAATAGTTTTATGGTGTAGATACATTCAGTTCCTTACACATTGGAACGAGCTGAAAAATACCCGTGAGCTTGTTTGAACTTGGTTAAAAGGTCCAACAATTAACAATATAAGTTTCCTAACAGTGGAGTAGAGATTACAAAGGATAAATGGAGAAAAATAGCAGCGAAATTCAGAGTTCCTAGAAAATTAAATGACCAGTACCCTTTCAGTGAGATTTAAGTACTTATATAAATGGGTTATTCAGTAAGGCACTTGAATAGCAGAACCGTTATAACGTTAAACCTTGAAAAGAAAGTATTTAGTGTTATCTAGAATCTGAATACAATACCATAACTTACGAGCTATTTCACCAACCAGTCATCTTAAGCAGGATTACTATTTCCACAGTTATAATCCTATAACTATAACGAGGTCGCATAAACAAGACCACTAATATACATTAGGAGTTGCATCCTGAAAGCGGTGCATGACTTCTACAGCTTGAAACGCTTTACATTTCTGTGATACCCTTAAGTCTGTATCAACCACTGGGAACCATTGAGCTGCACGAGACGAGTAACCGCAGTGTACCAAGCTTACCAAACATTAAAACAACCAAGTTTGCTATTTTACAACTGTGAGATATTTCACATAATGCGAGGGCGAGACTAAACTATACTGCCGAGCCAATCAGAAGCCTTCGTGGGTTTTCAAGGTAACGGCGATAAGTTCGGTACCTGATGCTTACGTATGGTCGGTTTACAGCAGATTTTAAGGAGGACGCGATAATTCAGCGTCTACAAGACAAGTGATGATAAGATTTTGGCGCGAAATTCAATTATCCATTTGGATAAAAAGAGTTTTGACATTAAAGCTGATGTCAGTTTGTGATGAAAACCCTGAGTATAATTCCTATCCTTAACCATGAACTGCAAATCATACTTTGAATTCTTCACACAGGTTTATAACCCTCATTTGGTCTTAGTTATTATGTTAACACTCTCAGGATCACTCTAGCGTCGCTCAAAAGTCGTCCATAACTTCTAGTCTCACCTTTAACCCTAAACCTTAACTCTAACCCTAAACCGTAAACCATACTAAACACCAACAACATTGAAGCTATGTGGTCGAGGCTAAAAGAATTTTTGAGACCTAATCGTGGTTTCATAGGCCGACTACTATGGAGCTATATGGAGGTGTTCCTGTACCATATCTACTGTGATTTTAAAACTTCTGAGCCTATATTCGACCTTGAGAAGTTTTTGAGTCATGTAAAAGAGCAGTATCCCCTCAGTTATTGAAAACTCACCACAGTACTGATTTTTTGGTTTCCAAGTGTAGCTCGAAGAAGACAGCTATTTTCATTGGTTACATGAACATCTTTTACTTTTTGAACCCGCTTGGGAACAGGCTTAACTCGTCCATCATCTAAACATAGGGAAACTTGCAGTACGAGAAGAACACTTACATCTTTTCATCGTAATATACAGTGATCCACTAGACTTCGACTGATTGAAAAGTTTGTGAAGAGATGTGAGGAACTGAGATTTCGTAAGAAAGTTGAAATAGCGTAACTAACTGTGTCATTGTCCAGTAACATTTTGTCGGATGTAACGCATGCATTTGAAAATTCTCCACAGACGACACGTCTGAAGGTGCTTTCAATGTATATCGTCATCAGTTGCAATAGACTATACTAGTAATGCTAAATTCCTATATTCTGAATTCATTGACGAGAATGCCTGATAAGGGTTTGGCGCGTTCTTCTACATCCTAAGAAGTCATTTTTTTATTTGAATACCTCAAAAATATCAAGGGTATATAAAATATCCCAAACAACCAATGAAGGGGAAATAAAGTTAAAATGATTTGGAAAATAGGGGGAAATAATGCAGAAATGTGTAAAAATGTCCGATTTTTGGTCTGTCCAGGGGAAATATTGCGGAATATCCCCTTTATGTCGTTCCGTGTTTCAAATGTCGCTTAATTGTCTATTTTTCACCTAAATATACGCCGAACTGTCTTTTTTCCGCCTATATACACACCGGTGTAATTTTGCATCCACCCTAAAACGCTTTTGTCACTAGCTCAAATATCTGTGTTCGCCTTCGTTCCCACAACACAGCACACGAGAAGTTTAGTGTGCGCAAAATACGGCATATGTTCAAAACATTTTATCGCAAACGTTATGAGTAGTTTACAGATGCTAGAGCATCAATTGTGATAATTTAATTCCGATTATCAGGTGTCCGGGTCATCTGAAAATAGCTTCATTTCCGCTTTATTTCCCCTTGATTGGTTGTTTGGGATATAATATATTTCCCCATTCTTGCCAACCATTAAAAGCATTTATTTATAAAACGTTTGAAAACTACTCCCGGCAAACAATAGTGTCTGACTCAGTTAGTCTCGACATTGGTTCGGTTTTCTTATCTACCATCAGTCATGACAAATAATGTTCCAAATGAAATACACACTCCACATTTTTGACAAAGCATACAAATAGATCTACTCTGATGATATGAGACCAAAAGGTTTTATTACTATATACATCTACCATTTCTAGCCTTTGTGCTGTTTGGAGGGCCTCTGTTAAGATCGTTCATACCATCAAATGTTTAGACAGAAATTTGGTCGACATACTTGTTTATAAAAAAAATTTGTGAAAATAAGTTATTAGGCTGCAGTCAAATTCTTTTTACCGGTTTACTTAATCGCTTATTTTAACCTTACCAAGTGCTTTGCGGCTACTAAATTTTTAAATCTTATGAACTTAACCTAATCACTACATAATACATTGCATCACCGCTAGATCTACTTTACAAGTTGTTCACCTAAAAGATATACGACGAAGTGAGTCCGGCACAGTATTTTTGGGTTTAATAATCATTGCAATAACCACTATTGTTATGTAGTGATCAAGACATGGTGTAAACCATGATCACTACCTCTCACACAAATGTAGAGATGACATAGAGCTGCTTTGTCTAAATTGCTAAATTTTCCTGTGATATTTGCAACAAAAGGATAGGATTTGGAAGTGAGAGTCAAGTTCAGACTGTTCACCCAGTAAGCAGATTTTAATGATGATCTTAGGGTCTTGATACCCATACTATTTTTACCTAGAAGTTAGTCGCCTGTCTGACCGATCTTGATATTCGTCAACAATATCAAAATCGGAAGGCTCAGGACCGGAGATAGAAGGCGAGATTATCGACGGACTGATGGAAATTCGGCTTGTTTTAGCTTCAGCTCAAAGTTAATTTTCTCTACCCGCGTATGACATTAGTTAAGACCAAGGACGCTCGGGTAAAGATAAAATAGAATAAAAGAACGTGGATTTGAATGCTTTCTTGCTCTTACGCGGCAGATTACACCGGCCGCACAACGCTATCACGCCCCGGGATAGAAAACATGGTTGTCAGATATAATGTTCTTGATGACAGAGAAAAGATAGTTTCATCGACCATGTCTCCTACGATTTTGCACAAAGACATGAAACTGTTATGAGAATCATCCAGTAATCTGAGGTCATCGGCCTCGGTATGCTAACTAATAATACCCAGAACTATCCAAATCGTATTCTAATGGCCACGTATGAAACATTTTTCAAAGCAAAGAGTACATCGTGAGCACAATCGAAGTTACTAAATGTGGAATTTGAGTCAGGTAAGAAATAATATACAGAGGAAGCGTTATTTGACGTCAGCACCACAACCACCACAGCCTGAATGGATATCCGATTTTCTGTAATCTGTTGTACGATGTACGATATACAATGTATCTGTCCGATTCTGTGATGAGTATGGACTGTGTATAATATGGTTCCCGGAATTATATTTCATCATCTTATCGGTTGTAAGTATCTCAAACATTACCATCTGGAGTTTACACCGCGGATCATGTGTTAGGATGAACACGACAGATCAATGGACAAAATACGCCGTTCATGAAGCCTACATTTTCGTACAGAATAAAATCTTGTTGAACATGCATGAACCTTTAGTTAAACCATAGCCAGAAAAAGATCATTATTTAGGTTTCAGTCCTCTAGAATCATAACTTTTCTTAGATTAACAAACGAGCTTGGAAACACAACGCAGAAATGTATCGCATGAAATTCATATTACATTTGAAAACACCGAGCATCACACAACACAGTCCTTTCAGTCGAGTAAATTACCAACTTGTGAAAAGCTGCATTATGATAATCAGAAGCATTTGGATTGTAGTATAAACTAGTAATCTCAGGAATAACGCAATTTAATCAGGAACTATAAGATGAGCACAAACGAATGTATTTTATTTGGAACTGAAAATCAAAACAGTCATCAATAAGAAGAAATCATTGATTCATTCAAACATCACAAGCATGCAGAGAAAGAAACCGTTTAGGCTACCGAGTGGTATGCTTGTATTATGGCAGGAAGATTGCAAGCATCCTAGTTTAAGCAATATGCAGCTGTTCCGTTCAAATTCGGTTCTATTCGGTTCGTGATGCGCGATAGATCAACACTCTCGTAACTTACGGCTCAAACAACAAAAAGCCAAATTCCAGTTCAGGTATTGATATTTTATTCATAACTAATAAGTAATCAACCCACATATATTTTTCTGACAATAATTATGGCAGTTTTTAAGTAAAGCCTCCTAATTTCGCATTTTCAGAGTAAAACTTTGCAAATACCAAACCAAAGCAAGATTAGGCTCATACAAGGTGAAAATGCAAATCAAAAAAGAATAGTGACATTCAGAATAATGGTTCTCAGTCAGTTAAATGCTTGGAGTTCCTTCCGTAAAATGAGTCTTATCTCGTTTTCAGTCAAGTGATTTATTGCCACGCTCAAACTCAGGCCAAACAGGTGACCACTCTTCCTGATGACTTTTCACAGAAGAGAGTGCTGTTAAAGTGAAGAGAATATTGAGAAACACGCAACTTTTAGGATTGTTTTACGGAAAGTTAGTATATACCTTTTTGTTATGCAATAACTTAACAAATCAGCGTCAGAATTTCAGTATCCCTTGTATGATAAATCTTTGCTGAACTGATTTACTGCGGCTAGACGTTTTACCATTCTCTAATTAGCAGCAAACATTTATTAGCCTGTTGCCTTGTTCTGCGAACCATCAATTTAAGTAGTTTTATGGATCTAATAAAGTTGGAAGAGGATGGTTTCACCTCTTAGCTTACTTCGAAGTAACATCTCGTGATGAACACATAACCTTCCCTGTCCTATCGTGATACACAGATAAATAGGCTTCCTAAGCTACCGGTTAGAACAAACGCTCCCAGAGATCAGGCGCTTGTATTAGAAAGACAAGTTGGGAGGAGCATAAAGTGGAACAATTGCCTCAAACCCCTGCCCATTGCGTATAGTTGACTAATAAGCGTTGCTTATCCATGACCCTGATAGGGTTCGGTAAACCATCTTAAGTTCGGTGATCTGCCTGCTGGATAATTTGTCTAGAACTTGGTGGTGTTTCACTGGCTCAGCAGTTCTCTTTCGCTTATGATTTCTTTGTGTATCAACTATAATTTCGTGTGTATGTTGTATAGCAGCCTGGTAACTAATGTATATAAAACTAATAGTGTTAGAATTATTATGATTGAATTAGATAATAAGAGAAGGTTGATCTCCTTGTTGTGTTCGATTTCTGACTGGAAAGGATATTTCAGGGAATTATCTAGGCTGCTTCCCGAAGTTAATTGTTATGGGTCGAAGTGTAACACTTGTCAAAGCTTGAATCTTCGGTCTATAGTCGAAAAGTATACTCATATTAGTCAGTTTTAAAAACCAGCTTAGCATTAGTGGGACTGTGATGTTTATATGAAACAATGCTTGTTTTCGAATTCCAAATACAATATATTCGTTCGTGTTTATCTAATACTTCTTGATCAGATTGCGTTATTGCTGGTATTTCTAGTTTATACTATAATTCAAATACACTTAAATGTCACATTGGCGTCGCTATGGAGCCTGTGATGAGACGGTTGTATATACATTCAGATTTTAATGCTTTTGAGGATTACATAGAGAGGTTCGAAATCTGGGATATGATGAAGGAAAATTTTGAGGATGTTAATATTGTGGCTCATTTTCTTACGCTCATTGAAAAGGAAGCATACAGCCTTATAAAGACAAACCGATTTCACTACCTTATGCAACTCTCAAGCAACTACTGCTGGACCATGTAAAGTATACAAATTTCAAATGAAGTAAGGAAGAAACGTTTGATTTAAAAGACTCGCCAGAATGTCTGGAATTTCACTACTTTACTACGTCGTCCTAGTTCAATGAGTAATCAAGGTTATTCAGATAACGATTCATTTAGTTGTAGAACAGTTCACGAAGATGAACACAAGTTTGGCAAATGCCTGTTCTGTGGCAAGTTTCACCCATGTAATTCATGTGTATTTCGTAATTCTAAATGCTTTAAATGTGGTAAAACTGGACACATTCAGTCAGTTTGTAATACCACGGTTCATTTCGCTGAAACTACTGCTGAAATTTGTGACCCTACTAAGTTGTATGTTTCTAAAGATCGCCATCCAGCTCAGAAAATAAAACTCCATCAAAATCATCCACCTGAGCTACAAATCTTCTCCACCATTCCAAGGATTACTTATCTTTATTCCAAACCTCGGGAAGAGGTTTAACGTCACATAGAAGTCTAGAGTTGAATGAAACCTAGAATCACTGTGAGACAAAAGTTTCCGATCAACCAACTTCTTATCACATTTCTCGTGTTATTGTACCAGATGCGGTTTGTCATAAGGATTCAC